AACCAGACCGTCCAAAAACGGCGTTTGTGACCCCTGACGGCTTATATGAATTTAATGTAATGCCCTTCGGTCTTTGCAATGCGCCTGCGACTTTTGAAAGAATGATGGACAGTGTCCTCAGGGGACTTAAATGGCACATCTGTCTTTGCTATTTAGACGACATAGTTGTATTCTCGGCGAATTTCGAAACTCATCTTTCCCGTCTGGAACAAGTTCTCCAGTGCCTTACGGCAGCCGGGTTGCAACTTAACTTCAAGAAATGTCGTTTTGGCGCCCGCAAACTCACAATTCTCGGCCACGTCGTTTCAAAAGAAGGAATATCGCCAGATCCTGCCAAACTGCGTGCCGTTGCTGAGTACCCCAAGCCTACTACCCTAAAGGAGCTTCGTAGTTTCATAGGCTTGTGTTCCTATTTTCGGCGTTTCATTCGCAATTTTGCCTCTATAATTGCCCCTCTGACTCAGCTTCTCTCCCGTAGCACGGACCTCTCTGGCTGGAATTCCCACTGCGATGAGGCATTCACGGCGCTACGCCGGCTACTCATCTCTCCGCCAGTTCTCCGCCACTTCGATCCCAATGCACCCACTGAAATTCACACGGATGCAAGCGGTGTCGGCCTCGGTGCCATTCTCGCTCAACGCAAGGATGGCTGCGACGAGTACGTTGTCGCCTATGCCAGCCGTACACTAACGAAGGCAGAGTCCAACTATTCCGTCACGGAAAAGGAGTGCTTGGCTATCATTTGGGCTATAGGAAAATTTCGCACCTACCTTTACGGACGCCAGTTTGATGTTGTCACAGATCACCATGCCTTATGCTGGTTAGCGTCCATGAAAGATCCTACTGGCCGCCTCGCTCGTTGGGCTTTACGCCTTCAGGAATACGATATCCGTGTTGTTTATCGCTCAGGACGCAGACATTCGGACGCCGATGCACTATCCCGTTCTCCACTGCCTCCTGACCTTGCCTGCTTATCAACTGCCATTTGCGATTCGTCATCGTTGAGCATCACTGACATGCCATCCGAACAGCGCAAGGATCCCTGGATCAATTCTTTGCTCGACGTCCTCTCTCACAGTTCGTCAGAAACGACTTCACGCTCCCTCTCTCGTCAAGCAAGACACTTTGCTGTCCGTGAAGGCTTGTTGTATCGCCGCAATTACGTGACGGATGGCCGTAGGTGGCTCCTTGTCATCCCTCGTCATTTGCGTTCGGACATCTGCGCTGCCTTTCACGATGACCCCCAGTGTGGCCACGCTGGAGTATTTAAGACTTACTCTCGCCTTCGTCTAAGATACTACTGGCGCGGCATGTATCGGCACGTTCGCCAGTACGTTCGGTCATGCACCACGTGTCAACGACGCAAGACGCCTTCTCACAGCACTGCTGGCCCTTTGCAACCCTTACCCTGCCCAGCGAGACCATTCGACCGCGTCGGAATTGATATTTATGGTCCTCTACCCAACTCTCTTCGAGGCAACCGGTATATTATCGTCGCCGTGGATCATTTAACACGCTACGCTGAAACATCTGCGCTGCCTGCTACCACTGCGAAAGACGTTGCGTCCTTTCTTCTTCACCATCTCATTTTGCGACACGGTGCACCTCGTGAATTACTCAGTGACCGTGGACGCGTGTTTCTCTCGAACGCCGTCGACGAGCTACTCAAGGCATGTCGCACTGTCCATAGGAAATCCTCGGCATACCATCCCCAAACCAATGGCATGACAGAACGCTTTAACCGTACCCTTGGAGATATGCTTGCCATGTACGCCTCTGACGACCACACTAATTGGGACCAAGTGCTCCCTTTTGTCACGTACGCGTACAACTCTGCGCCACAAACAACCACTGGCTTTTCTCCTTTCTTCCTTCTGTACGGACATGAGCCATCATGCTCCATGGACACCATTCTCCCTTACAAGCCTGATGTTTCCGAAGCGACGCCTGTTTCCGAAGCAGCTGCTTATGCCGAAGAGTGTCGTCAACTCGCTCGCTCATTTACCGCACAAGACCAATGGCGCCAGAAAACTGACCACGATTCCTCTGCGTCTACTGTACACTATAACCCAGGAATGCTGGTTTGGCTCTGGGTCCCGTCTACCCCTCCCGGTCTTTCCCCGAAGCTTTCGTCGAAATACCATGGCCCCTACCGTGTGGTGCGGCAAACATCTCCTGTCAACTATGAAGTTGAGCCCATTGATCCACCCTCGGACCAACGCTGCCGTGGGCGTGAAACAGTACACGTATCACGCCTCAAACCGTGCTATGACCCCCTTGTCGTGTCCTTTCCCTAGGTCGCCAGGTTGGCTCCTTTCTGCGCGGGGAGTAATTGTACCGAAGCATAGTGGCGCCAGCTCTGTGCCAGCGTGAAAGAAGACGTTGACGTCCGTGTGTGGCTCGTGCTTGCCGGGTTCCTGCCTGTACCAGCTTGTTGCGGCTAACGTTTCTGAAATAATAACCTGTGTTTTTACGCAACCTTGCTCGTTGCAATACTAACACTTTAAGGCAAATACTACTTCACACTGAGCATTGGCGTGCGCCGCTTCAGAAAGAAGGGAGGTGGGTAGGGGCGATGGTTTATCGATGCTACCCGGTCCCATGGGCAAACTTTGAGCCCGCCCCCCTCTAAGATGACTTGGTGGATGGGGGAAGCCCCCCTCCCGGTGCGCACACTTATGCTAGTAACAGAATGAGATCCGACTTCTTGCAAGGTAAAACGAGCCGCAGTGTGACAACACTCGCAGCATGCAAACGTTCGACCCGTGGCTTGTATCTGGCAAGCACAAAATTGTACACCAAAGACGACAAACGGAAACCAGTGGTGTAGTTTCCCCACACTTTCCCATATTACCCACCAAGGGGATGAGGCAACGTCAGAGTTGGTAGGAAGAGTGGATAAGAGGCGGAGCTGCTGCAATGTGATAGATGATGAGTGCCAAATATGAACTTTCCGAAATAGAAATTTGTCATGCATATATGCATGCTGTCTTACAGAAGTGCGCATCTCTAGGATGAGATCACATGGTACTTGGGTGCGCTATCTAACACACACCTGTCCCTCAATGGAGTAGTAACAATGAGACGAGGGTCATAAAATGACTACGGATGTCGGCCTTCCACACGCCAAAACACCAAAGCCTCTTGATATGCTGAGACCATAGGTCGGCACAAGAAAGTGAAAGTCACTCAGATTCACTCAAGAAATATATATTGCGCTTTGGACTCGCCAAAATGTTCCCGAGCCAAACTCACTCAGACTCACACTCACGGTAATTTCCTCCGACCGGACTCACTCGAATTAACACTCACAAAAATATTACTCAGCCGGACTCGCCACGACTCGCGGCTTGGTCCAAGTCAGAGCAAGTCCGAGTGAGTTGGCTGACCTATGGCTGAGACGTTTATTCACAAACAAAAGAAGTGCAAAAAAGAAAAAAACAGCTGGAGACACTGCCACGATATTTGAGAATCGGCTCACAGTGTCACATTTTCAGACATATCCCGGCAGCCATGGCGAAATTCGATTCACAATGTGTTCCTAAGGAACAGTAGTGTTTTTCAAGAAAAGTTTAGAAAGTTCTTAAGAACATGAAAACAAAAACCGGACGTTTACTTAAATTCACTGCATCAAATCGATATGCTGCTGTTCAGATGTCGTAGAAATGAAACCTCGACTAATTTTTTCTACAGTTGAACACCTTTCCAAGAAATGTGCACTAGGAAGATCTCTTTTATACGAGGTCATTTTCTGGTCGACCCCCAATTTCGATGTAGGCACACATTTCTTATACCCCACTGTCGTTTATATGAGAGCCTCTTATAAAGGGTTTCAACTGTACTAATAACAAACCTAAAGCTGACAATGACAACGGGAATTTCAAGGAATAACTTATCAGCCTAACTGACCTTGTGCTTCCCTACTGCGATTCATGTCCAGGTGATCCAGCTGTATACATAAAATACTATGCAAGGAAGGTGGCAACATGAAAAGAAGGAAGTTGATAAGTTGTGCCTGAGAAAGATAAGAAGCTCGATAAAAGCTTTTTGATTTACATGTTCACAGAAATTCCATTTACACTATTTTTCTACAAACACTATATGCAGAGCAAGAACAACCAAAGTGAATTATATAAAGCAAGACAGTTGTAAACATATATGATCTTGACATCATGACCAGGGCAGGTTGCACGATACTCCAAAGTAGTGCGCATGTTAATAACAAACTTGTGAGAACTGCACATTGGCGACTGCGTAATGAAGGAAAAGCAATTTAATCAGTACAGTAAAGAAAGCACTTTAGTACGACATGTGCTCTTCATTGTAGTGGTACGGAAATAAGCAGAACACATTATGTGCTGCTTCCAAGAAAAAAATTTTTAATTGCCAGCATGACCGTGCACATGCTTTTCACTTGTTTCAGAGCTCAGGAACACTGCCGATTTTTATTGAACAAGCTTGAGCTGCGTTTTCGTAAGCATTAGCAAGTTTGAAGAAAAAGCAAGCCAACCTTAATAGCTTCAAACCAAACAAAGCAAAGCAATTTCTGCTTGTGAACCTTCAAACTCGCGTGCCGTCATACTTCCACATGTGACAAGTGAGAGTTTCTACAAATTTGGAAAATGGGTTCGATGATTTAAAAGTGCTGTGTCTGTGAAAAAGAATAGTACTTGAGAAGCATGAAAAACCAGGTCACATTGTTCATGTTTAGATGTGAGAAAAAAAACAGCGAAAATCTAGGACAAGGACAAAAAACAAGGCACAAAGTGTGAGAGTGAATGTGCCTTCTTGTCCTTGTCAAGAGTTTTTGCTGGTTTCCTTTTGTGTGCACACACATACCTTGATGTAAGATAGCAAACCTGCATATAACGAAATATTGGTTATAGTAAAGTAAATGAAGCATACTATTGCATAGATACAGTGCTAGGAATATACCATTATAACGAATTTTTGCTTTAACGATCTTCCGTGTAATATGCAACTTTAGACAAACGCCCTTGTTCACTGCCACAATTCTTTTATTTTCTCGCACCACGCAACATTGGGAACGCCCGTGCCTCGGCGTCACTCATACAACGGGGGACAAGAGAGAGGGAAGGGACACCCCGAGTGTAAAATTGCAAAAATACAATGCTCGTCGAAAAAGAGTTTTCTTTCACTCTCAAACGTCATCCACACAGAAGAACATGAACATAAGGACGAGGGGGGTGGGAGAGAGAGCATGGCAACTTTTCGCCTCCATTTTCTTTATGGCTGCTTTTTGTTGTCTTCTTCTGCCCCTTTCTCCCACGCCCAAACTCCATTCAATTCTTTGAGTAATGTTATTTGCCTAGGATGGTTTCTTTGATGGCATCCACGTACTGCGCGGGAACCCAGTAGATCCAGTAGCGGGAGGCTTCCGTCGTCCCAAGCTGAAGGGCCTGCAACAGATATCCCGCAATGCCTTGAGAAGCATTACTGAACAGTGAGTGCACGCAACAAACTTTGGTGACTTGTCCCTCGCTAATGACTGCTGCGCTGTTGTTGCCTCAGCCCATGACTTGAGACATTGCCACACAAATTTGCATGAGTCATTGGCTCTTTACATATTAGCCAATCACTCATCATTGGCTAACAACTACTGACTTGTCATGCAGTTGATATTATCACACAAAACTCGTCCCACAAATTGTGACAAGTCACTGGCTTGTCACACACTAGTAAACCACTCGTCACTGGCAAATAAGCACCAACCTGTCATTGGCTCATCTCACAGCTGATCATACTGTCACAGAACCCGCGATATCCCACCTATTGCGACAAGTCGTTGGCTCGGAACACGTTAGCTAAATCCTCATTACTGGCTAATGACTAGCATCTCATCACTAGTTCATCGCACAACTTGTCAAATTGCCACACAACTTGCGGCGGCTTGTCGCAGACTAGCCAATGACTTGCCAATGGCTATGCCTACTAACTTGTCGTTTGGCAAAATGAAATGTGTTCCAAGAACCGTGGCAGCACACATGCCTAGATATTTACGAGAAAAAAAATTCTTGTTCATTTAAAAGCTAGCACACACTGGACATGGCATCCTTCGCACGTAGCAGAAACAGCCACTCAATTAGATCAAGAACAACATGGCATCCTTCGCACGTAGCAGAGACAGCCACTCAACTAGATCAAGAACACTTTGAACTCTGTCAAAGGCGCTGCATTATTTTTTTTGCTCATTGTTCTAATCTTGGCAAAAGCCCACATATGTCATATTGTGCCATCAGGTGATAACTTTGGTACGTTAATAGCTGAAGGTCAATTATGCATGCGGCAGACAGATGCTAATTTTTCAACTACAAAGATATTGAACATGCTACTACAGTTAAACCTCCCTATAACGAACCTCTATATAACGAATTCCTCGATATAACGAAGTTTTTCTATTCCCCGCCGTTGCTACATAGAAGCAAATGTATTTGCAACCTCTATGTAACAAAGTAACAGTGAGAGACAACCTTGATGTAACGAATTTTCCCCACCAACAATCTAGGAATTTTACTCCGCACATTGGCACGAGCATGCATGCCACGCGACTTCCCCGCCGCTAACGAAGCGCAAAGCGGCGGCGGCGCGCACACCGCACCAAGTGAGAGCGATCGCTCGTTATTGGGCACGGGTGGGTGAGTGCGAGGCGGGCCTGCACCCTACGAGCCGGCGTGCGCGGGTGTGTACCCCCCTCCCTCCAAACCAAAATAAAAAAAACTACTTTTGCGCGTTGGCAGTGCCACGCTTTTAGACAGCGTCACATATGCGGGCCCACGCTGCACATGGAGGGCGCTTTACTGAACAGTTTTCCGCGGTGTCCGTGTCGTTCACTCTCCGTTTTCAACATTGTGCACGCATGCATAGTTTCACTGCGTGTGCATGGTGCGGCCCCCGAAGAGGTTCAGCTTAGCTTTTTTTACTATTGCGATAGAAGTTATATGGACAGTCTCGGCAGGTTTTTTGCCGTTGCCGCTGCCATTCACATATATATATGAAAACTCAAGAGAGAAAAAATTGGCCCTGCATCTGCATGTTGCACTGCAAATGTCGTTGAAAGACAATAGTCTTGCGTCTGGAGAGAGTGAACAAAACGTTTATTTGATGTTCTGCGCAAGAAAATCGGTGAATTGTATTCTGGAGGCGCTACAATAGAGTGCCTCGAGCAGGCAGCGGAGGCGAACGAACGCCTCAAGTCACATCAGGCATGAGACATGACCGCCATCTGGCAGTTTTCTTGAAAAACGAAGCGCGTGCCTCTGAGAAGGGTGTGCGCGCCCGTCTCAGAGGCGACAAGGTGTAGAACGCAAGGAGACGGGTAGGTGCCACCACCGTCTCGTCTTAGCAGAGCATTGGAAACACCTTTCCGAGCAAGCATTGCATGGTCAGCGCAGCATGATAAGCGCTACGGTCCTTACAATTACTTGGATATGCTTTTTCTAGTCAAAGATGCATATGCAGAATATATACGCGTTGTTATGATGGCCAAGATATGCGCAATAATTGCTTATTAATTGACAGTTGCACAAGTAAGAATGCAAAACCTTGAGCAACATTGGTGGGCGCTGCGGATGGGGTTGACCGTTTCAAGTACCCGGAGCCGTTAAGAGTGGACAAACAGACAAATGTACAGACAGACCAAAATGTTTGCGTCGCAGGTACCCAAGAAAGACTATCGTCTTTAAAAAAGCCACCCGCGCACGGCGCCTGGTTGGTCATGATGCGCTTATCTCCCATGCATACTTTGCCGCGAATAGAGTGGGGGGGAGGTGGTAAATGCTTGTGTGCGTGCGCTTATCCTTCGGTAAAGAGAATCGTGCACCTTCGACTTTGACCGAAACGATTGCGTTTAGTTGCTAGGCGCATAAAGATCACTTCGCTTGCAGGACAGGCGCCGTTTGCGAAAAGAGCATGCTCTACTGGGGCATTGTTGGTTCACACTCATATCTGTATTATGCTTCGTGCCTCGTTTTTGTGTAAACAGTGCGTTACGTGTCGAGCGGTACACGTTGTTAGTTCGTTCTCGTTCTGTGCAAGTTGTTTTCGTGCGTCATTTGTGTGTGAGAAACGCGCTGCCCGTTTCAATCTGCTTGCCGTTCTCGGCGGTAATTCCAAGTTGTTGCTATTGCATTGCTTCGCCCTTGCGGCAAAACTGTGACTTTTGTTGATTTCGGACAACCGTGTCGACAACACTGAGGGGATGCCAGATTAGGGGCTTATGGAAACTCTCCGAGACTACGGTGACAACGGATATTCGGAGGTCGACTCTTCACGCGCTTCCGTCTTGCGCTGCGAGTCCGCAGGCTGGTAGCTTTCACAATTAGCCAATTAGTTCTGGCAACAACACAATGGTGCGTTAAATGGAGCGCAATGAACACGATAGCAAAAGATTATAATGTTATAAGAAGGCTGGCAGGCAACTCTTTTGGATCCGATATCGCAGAAGTCCTACAAAACGCTGGTATGAGCAAATTGGGCCGCTCCAGGGAGAAGTGCGCTTTTCAAACAGTCGCCTCGCGTTGAAACTGCACTGATACTCGCCAAGATAGCAAGCGTGCCAGCGATCGCGACCACCCTTAAAATGCAAGTTCATTATTACTACTCGAGGGAATCCCCTCCCCGCGTTGTTTCATGCTCTTCGAAGACGAGTGGTTTACTTTCTGTTTGAACATTCGACGGCAGTTCCAACACGCGGGAAATGTTATCTTATGCACTTGCCAGGCGATAGGGATGGGCCGACTCATTTGATCTCAGCTTCAGCAGCGCTCGCGCACTTTTACCCGCTCGCAAAAGTTACGATGCGCGGAGGCGTGTTATCAATTTGGACTTGTTATGGAACATGGTGGCGACGACAAAAACCCGCCGAGAGCGTCTATATAATTGCTATCGCAATAATAACGCAATTGTTCACCGTAAAATTAGTGTTTTGGGTTAGATCTGTTTTCAGTCCCCTTTTTGTTTAATTTGCACGTTTATTTTCCGAATTTTCATACCAATCCTGCATATAACGAAATCCTCTTTATAACGATTTTTTTCGGGAATTGATCAATTTGGTTATATCCAGGTATAACTGCAGAACAAAAAATATGGGTCGAACGTTTTCAAATAATATATTGTGAACAGACGAAAACTTCTCTTATAGAGCTGTTTGTCATTCAATTTATATATTAGTCTAGTTCTATAACAAGAGGAAACAAAAAGAGCAGAAAAGCACTGCTGTCTCCATTGGTGGTGTTGCAAACTCCGCAAAGAATGTGTAAACATGTCTCGAGTTAAGTGGGGAGAAAAGGCCAGGGGTACTGAAGTAGTGTGTTTCGAGACACCTTGCTGGACATTGAGCAATTGCACAAACAGTATTGACACGATTTTGAGACATGGCGTAAGGGCGCATAAAATGAGCACGCAATCAGCATGTTACTGAAAGTATCTCAGACACATGTCATTTCAACATGCACACATCTATCTCATTGACACTTTGATGATTAGGCAAGTAATTCGAGTTACAAATATCATTATTACTAATTATTACATTGTCATTAACGAAAAAATTAGCAGCAGCTTCTACAGTACACTAGAACAGTATGCACTAGCTTTGCTTCGCATAATGCCATTCCTCTTTTTTTTTTTTTTAGATCACGCTGTGGGATAATTGAGATGCCATGTATAAGTAGTTTATGGTGAAATAGAACGGTAATCCGACCAGCACTGCACAAGCGCGCACGTTTTACTTTCGTAGCCACAATAGCGTGGCGTGTTCACGTGAGGATCAATAGATACATGCTAGGGCATTTATAGGGCATTTCGAACTCGAGAGATTGTAGTTTCGTTTTCAAAATATGAGAACACCACGTTTGGCGCAGCTTTCTCGCGGAGCAGTGGAAAAGTAGCAGGATGTAACAGGATTGGTCTTTCAGTACAGTTTGGCGCAATCGGCTCAGCTATCACATCACCGAGTGTTGATACTCTCTACACACTGGAGTCTGCTAACATAAATACAAGATTTTCGCTGAATTTTTCGTCGCAGAGAATTGCCAAGCCTACCCTATCACTATGGACATTATCCCAACGAGTTCCACTGAGTTCGGGAATTCCGGCAACTCTGACCCTGCATACAGCCTGAATCACAGAAAGCACTGCCGGGGTGGTCACTAGGGACAATGCACTCTCGCATTATGTATGGCACATCTGCCATGCAGAGTACGTGTATTACGAGTGCATGGCAGATGTGCCGCTGTTAAGTCACGAATTGCGGTCTTTCCAAGACACCACACTGCCAGTGGGTCATGGAAATGCCACCCCCTTGATATCAAAACCGAAGGTTTTTATTTAAGGTAGTGGTATTGAAAAATATACATGCGATGCATTCCCAGGCAGCAAAGGACTCTTTCTAGGGTTCTAGAAATCCATGTTTTTTTTTTTAGTAACAATCGTAAAATATTTAAAATTTGTGTCAGTACTCCTCTAATCTTGCACTCGTGCACTCCAGCTGGCAGATCTGGCCAATGCACTGTTGGCTGCAAAATTCTGTGGGATGTGCAGCATGTGGCGGAAAACTGCATTGCTGTGCCGCCTGCTGTGCAGCAGCGTAGTGTGGAGGCTACCATACGCGGCCTCGGTGACTAGCAGTGGCACGCTTAGACAAAGCGCTATAGCTAGATCTAATCCCGAAAGCATGGCACACGTCACTATAGGCGGCGCAGCAATGCAGTTTTCCGTCGCTCCACCACGTGCTGCACATTCCACAAACTTTTGCGGTTGACAGTACAATGGCAGGCAACAATTTATAATCGCTACATTGCTTCCTCAATGTCTTCCCGTATATCTGCACCATTCGAAAATGGCAGGAATATGCAAGCTGCAGTGCGACCAGCTTCACAGCTACAAAAAAAAAAAAAAAAACTCACCATTATATGGTACTCTTCATGACCCTCTATAGCCTCGCTAATGACTTGCTTGATAGAGCTCATGTTAATTTTTTCTGTCCTTTCTGAAAGACAAGAGAACAAGTATAAGAACAAGACAGAAAGAAACCAATGTAAGCAACAACTTCATTTCAGTGAACCTTCATTTGAAAATTAAGTAAGAATGGAGCTTCACCCTAGCTGATTTGATGCTAGACAATATAGCGAACTGACAAAATGGCCATGGGTGTTCGAAAATACAGTGTTATAAAAAAGATTATGCCCAAGCACCACGTAAAACTTAATGCAAGCTTCACGCATTGCGGCTGATGCTGACGGTCACTAGAGAAATAAACGTTCAATTGAACAGCCACAAACTGAGAAAAACTATGCGTACCTGTGAAAACCAGTACGAGAAATCAGCACAAACACAGTCGTTCAACTTTCTCATGTTTGTGTTCCTAATTTACGTGTATCACCTCTGTAGCACGACCACAAAATTTGAGTCAAAGTGCACTGGTAGGCTAGGTGGTTGACACTACTCATAATACGAAGTAGTATGTTTGCTTTCTCTTCAAATTCGCATTCAGTCATCTTGCTCCATTTTATTCCCCATAAGAACTTGGTCGTGTTCTGCCAACCAGACCCTATCGATGCGTGTGAGCTTGTGCTTAGCACATGACTTTACCGGACAAGTCTCTCAATCTATGCTTCCTTTTTACCCACCTTTCTCCTCTTCTTTCGCTCTTGAAGCATTGATGTCAACGTTACATTCCAACACCGAACTCATTTACTTTATCGGCAACATCTTTAACAGCGCCTCTGCCCAGAGGCATCTGCCAAACTTGTTGCGGGGCAAGGGGTCGGGTGCACTCAGCATATCGGCAGTGCGAACGGCCTCTGACACATATCTTTACTTTATCCACATCCAAGTTTTCGCTCACAGCCAATGCTTTTTTGCTCACAACCAAAAATGCAGTGTAAGAAACCTTGTTGTTGGGCAGGTTAGTTGCTCATTTTTTAAAATATAGTTACAGTGCAAGCACGGCACATTCACACATGTACACACCCATGCACCAGAGCGCTACGTGTGTTTGATGCCTGGATGTATGGTGTGTATGTGTCGTGCGTTCGTGCTTTAATTATATTTTTAAAAACTAGAGATGCTCCAACCTCCGCTGACAATGTGATTTCTGCAAAACGAGCTCTATAGGTTTGAAACATTATGCAGAATTCCAGGAGGGGGAGGGGCGGGCAGCTACTTTCTCTTTGCCTCCCCCTCCATACACCCATGTTTCTGCCGACCGTTGGTGCCAGCTTGCTCACCTTTCGTGCCTATCCAGACTTGGTCAAGCTCGAGCTTGAAGGTGAGTCGTACTTTGCCTCCCGATTTATTTAGCATCCCCGAAAGCGGCACTGCTGGCAGTGAGTCCTGGATGTGACAAAAATGGCGGGTCGAATTAGCACTTTGCCGAGGCCCAACGAGACGTGGCAACTGTGGCTGCAGCAACAGTTTCAGTGCAACACTGTACTGACCTACACACTAAAGTAACAATCATAAGTTACCAGAATGGCAACCTTCGGAAGTGCTTCTATTATGCAACGAGAACTGTCGTCAGACCTAGCCATGCATCCTTTTATTGAAAGCTGCTTACTCGCTGCCGTCCTAGAGGTAACGCTACATCTCTGCGAGAGTACAAACACCCCTCATGAACTGAAAGTAACGTTGTAGTGTTGGTACAGCCGAACCCGGGTATATCGAACTCGCCAAAAAAAGTTTATTAGTTCGATATATGGCATAATTCGATATAGGCCCGGTATAGGTTTTGACACAAAGGCACATAAACTAGAAGAAAAGTACTTTATTATTATGGTGGCTTACTTGCGCGCCCTACTGTGGAACAAAATAGTCCCGGATTTTTTTCTGTGTCAACAACTTCGCTGCCTGCGACAGCACGCACGCCTCCATGTTGTCCAACGAGTCGGAGCAGCTGAGGCATTCACATTCAAGCAATAGCGCCGGACCAACGCACGTGCACTAATCACTTCGGAGGATGTAGGCAATGGGCCGTCATCGATTTCCATATTGCTGTCGGTTTGGCTCGTGGTCGGCACGACGTCTGCAATGTAATCCTCATCCTGTAATTGGCCCATGATGGGGACATCATCGTCCGCACTGACGAATTCGTCGAATGTCGATCCGTCGATAGCACCCGGGAACCCTGCCAGCTCGTTCCAAACTTTGGCGGAAACACCTGCGGTGTCTTCAGTGCTGTCAGAATTTGGGGTGTCATCACCAGGCATGCGGAAGCCGGCATGCCTAAAGCAGTTCTGGATCGTCTCCTTATTGACCTCTGCCCACGATATACTCAACATAGAAATAGCTTCGAGCAAGTCGATCTTAAGCTCCCTGCCGACACGAAGGTTCTGCAGCAGCCTCTCCACCAGGCGCTTCCGATAGCCGGCTTTCATTGCGCCTATAACACCTTGATCCAGTGGTTGCAGTACAGACGTAGTGTTCGGAGGCAAAAAACGCAGCTCGATGTTGCTGAAGGTCGTACTGCAGTCGTGCGATGAACAATTGTACACGAGCAAGCACACCTTGCGATTTTCGCCTACCAAATCATCATTTCACGACGATAGCCATCTGCTGAAAAACTTCCCAGTCATCCACGCTTTTGAGTTTGCTCGGTAGGTAACTGGAAGCGACAGCGCATTTCGAAAACACCGCGGCGTCGTGCTTTTCCCGGTAACCAGCGGTCAAAGCTTTTTCGATCTGTCTAAACTAGCTGCCAACAGCACGGACACACGAGGTTTGTTTGCCTTCCCACCGCTTGTCTTGTCGCCACGATACGCAAGTGTCTTGTTTGGCAACATTTGCCAAAATAGGGCGATTTTATTCGCATTGAAGATATTGTCACGATGAGTCACAAGTACTGGGGGATTTAATAAAGCACCAGGTAGCTAGCACTAGGACGATGCGTCAGTCGTGGCTGGCTCTCGAGCAAAGAAGAAGGCGATCTTTTTTCCCCCAGATTTAGAGCCGCTCTTGCTGTCAACCCACTACGTGCTGGCGGCATTATCCCCCCTTCCGAAAAGAAAAAAAAACAAGTACCAAAAAGAGGAAAGGGAAGTACATAGGAGCACCGCGATGCTACTACATAGGCACGTGAAAAAAAAATGGAAATTCGGATGAAGTGAAAGTAAAAATTGAAGAGCGTGCCAACATAGGAAACGTCAATGAACAAGAAAGTAAGTTCACAAAATAAACAAAAAACACAAAGAACGCTGTACGGTAAAGGAAAAGTTACGAACAACGCGCAATAAATGGCTTCATGCGCAACACATGAACGACGTCCGGCCTCAGCCGTGTCCTGCTCCGTGCATGGGGTGTTGAGTCCGGAACCACTTCGTAGTTCACGTCACTGACGCGCCGTAACACTTTATATATGGGCCAAAGTACCGGCTCAGCAACTTTTCACTAAGGCCACGGCGGCGGACGGGCGTCCACACCCAAACTTGATCTCCGGGGTTGTAAAACACTTCTCTGTGGCGGGTATTATAGCGTCGTGCGTCTGCCTGCTGTTGCTGGCCGATGTGCAGTCGCGCGAGTTGCCGGGCTTCCTCGGCACGCTCTGCGAATTCTTCGGCGTCTGTTGCCAACTCGTCTTCGTCCTGACACGGTAGCATTGAGTCTAGCATGGTCTGCACTTCGCGGCCGTAGAGAAGCCGAAATGGCGTGAATCGCGTGGTCTCTTGCACGGCGGTATTATACGCGAAGGTCACGTAAGGCAAGATCCGGTCCCATGTTTTGTGCTGTACGTCGATGTACATTGAGATCATGTCTGCGAGGGTCTTGTTCAGTCGTTCAGTAAGTCCGTTGGTTTGCGGGTGGTACGCAGTTGTCCTTCGGTGTCTGGTGTTGCTCAGTTTGAAAACTTCGTCCATAAGCTGCGCCGTGAATGCCGTCCCTCTGTCCGTTATTACACTGGAAGGAGCACCGTGTCGTAACACGATGTGGCGCATGAAAAATTGTGCTACCTCAGAAGCCGTGGCTCGTGGGATCGCCTGGGTTTCAGCGTAGCGTGTCAAATAGTCGGTCGCGACGATCACCCATTTGTTGCTGTCCGCAGACATAGGAAATGGCCCGAGAATGTCCATGCCGACTTGGTCGAACGGCGTGCAGGGTGCTTCAATGGGCTGAAGCAAACCAGCTGGCTTAACAGATGGTTGCTTTCGGCGCTGACATTCCCGACAGCTCTTTACGTACTTCTTTACGCTTGCTGAAAGTCCTGGCCAATAGTACCTCTCGCTCACTCTGGCAAGTGTCCTTGAGTAGCCCAGATGACCGGATGTGGGTTCGTCATGGCAAGCGAAAAGGACGTCGTCTCGCATGTCTCGAGGAACCACCAGGAGGTAAGCACGATTGTTCGAACGAGCGTTCTTCTTGTACAGCACACCGTCTCGTAGGCAGAACGACGTCAACGAGCGGGATAAATGACGTGGTATAATTGCGCCCTGGCCCTCTAAATGATCAATGATTGGACGAATCTCTGCATCATCTCGCTGTCGTTTGCTCAAGTCTGATGCACTAACAACGCCCAGAAAGCCTTCGTCTTCCTCTGCTTCCTGACTGACGACATGAAGGGGTGCGCGTGACAGTGTGTCAGCGTCCTCATGCTTACGGCCGGACTTATGGACGATGGTGACATCAAATTCCTGCAGCCGCAAACTCCACCGTGCTAGCCGACCTGAAGGGTCACGCAGGCTTGCCAACCAACAGAGCGCGTGATGGTCCGTAACTATCTTGAAGGGACGACCATAAAGGTACGGGCGGAACTTGGTGATTGCCCACACGACTGCGAGGCACTCTTTCTCCGTAGTGGAATAATTCGCCTCGGCACGGGATAGAGAGCGGCTGGCGTAGGCTATCACTCTTTCGATGTCCTCTTGATGCTGAACGAGCACTGCACCGAGCCCAATGTTACTAGCGTCGGTATGGACCTCCGTGTCAGCATCATCGTCGAAATGAGCGAGAACGGGCGCTGATTGCATGCGCTGTCGCAGCTCATCAAAAGCTGCTTGTTGCTCGTTTTCCCAGACAAACGGCGTGTCGTCCCTTGTGAGACGAGTCAGAGGTTCTGCTATCTGTGAAAAGCCATGAATGAATCGGCGATAGTAGGCGCACAAACCAAGGAAGCGCCGGACGGTTTTCTTATCGACAGGAGCTGGTAATTCGGCAACAGCGGCAAGCTTGTCCGGATCGGGGCGGATTCCTTCGGCGCTAACTACATGTCCAAGAAATTTTAGTTCTTTATAACCGAAGTGGCACTTCTGTGGCTTTAGTGTGAGGTCCGCCGATCGGATAGCCTCCAGCACACTGCGCAGGCGGTGAAGGTGCTGCTCAAACGTGGTAGAGAAGACCACCACATCATCAAGGTAGACAAGACAAGTCTGCCACTTGAGCCCTGTGAGGACAGTGTCCATCATTCGCTGGAAAGTTGCCGGTGCTGAACACAAGCCAAAAGGGAGCACTCGAAATTGGTATAGGCCGTCTGGAGTCACAAAGGCTGTTTTCTCACGGTCTCGCTGATCTACTTCGATTTGCCAATACCCGCTTTTGAGATCGAGAGAAGTGAAATAATGGGCACGACGAAGTCTATCCAGCGAATCGTCGATACGTGGCAGCGGATACACATCCTTTTTCGTCACGTTGTTAAGCTTTCGGTAGTCGACGCAGAAGCGTAGCGACCCGTCCTTCTTTTTGACAAGTACGACTGGAGATGACCACGGGCTGTTCGATGGTTCAATAACGCCATCGTCAAGCATCTCGGTGACTTGCGTACGTATTGCTTCACGTTCTTTGGCCGATACGCGGTAGGGGTTCTGGTGTATAGGACGTGCGTCTTCGTACGTGTTACGCACAAGGCTCTATATCTTGCTGCGATATCTCGCCAGTTTTCCTCGAGCCATTTTTTTACGCTGTCCAGGTACGCCGCTCTGCTTTCACCTGTAACAGCTTTGCCAACAGTTCTTTGAACCGCTGAAGCCAGCCTGAACCACCTTGGAAATCATTCCTGCCAAGCAGAAAAGCAAGGTCCTTGGCTTTCTTCTCGATCATAGGGCCGGACACCGGGATGTTTCACGACCGAACGTCGCCAAACCACTTGTAAACGGCCGCTTCAACATCTTCGTACACAGCAGCGCGCACACGTCGGGCGCCACGGGCACCTGGCCTTTTGTCCGACTTGGCCCTGATGTCTGCCTCGTTCTTCAGGATAGTACTCAAGGTGCTCCTTGGAATTTTGTACACGGCGGCGACGGCGGACTTCTTTTCACCGCGCTCAACCCGATTGATGATTTCGAGTTTCGTGGCGAACGGCAAATTTTGCCTATTTGCGCAAGCCATGATGACAGCGCGCCAATACAGTT